GCAACCGACCACATATCGCCGATTGCCATCTTGATGATTTCTTATAAAGTAATGAGCACTCAAGACGGTGAGATATGCGTTTGTTTCAACCATAACGGGAGGAAATCTTAATCTACTCCAACAGCGCAAACCAAGGAATGCGGATGGACAAGAGCAACAGAGCGTCAACACGCTTTGTGAACCAGGGTTCATTCATCAGCAATAAGACATTCCAAGCCGCTGTATTCTAGCTAGTTTGACGTTTTAAGTAGCATTTCACTCAACTCTGATCGAGGCTACAGGCCAAGTTAGAATAGCAGAATGTGTGAGTCTCAAGGGCAAGTGAATTCTTCCGAGCGTCTCAGAAGTGGGAGGATATAAGCAGGCGATAAGAGACTGCCGGACTTCGCCTAGGCGAACAGCTCGACCTGCTTGTCACCACTCTCACGTCGTCATCCAGCCACCAAGCGTAGAACAGATGGAGCACTGGTCGCACGCACAAAGGAGGCGTTCACCAATCCCATTAGCGCCTTCTTAGACAGCAAATACAGAAGTGCAGCGACTGACAACCAGAACAAGCAAGAAAATCGAACATTGGGCCGACTGTCAGCCTTGAACACAAAAGAACCCCAAGGACAGCGAGAATACAATCGCACACTACCAACTACATCCCAACTTTGAACATAGGTGATCCACTATGTTACCAACCACGAAAACCCAGCGGAAAAAGCACATTCGGCAACCTGCACTCGCGTTGTATTTACATTATTATTCCTTAACGAGCAGCCACAGGAATCTTGTGTTTCTCGACAAGGAATTTCCACCCCCGGCTTTCCTCCCCGATATCCTTCACTACTATGCAGGAGGCAGATACAACCTTCCGAGGACATCCTTTGCGATCCAACTTACAAAGTCCGGCCATTTCGCCAAGTTGTTTGCCATCGGGCACCTAACATGCTGGAATTAGAATACAAGCGCTACTTTAATCAGCGGAATTTCGTGCACACGACAGAGAGCTTCAATAATATCAGTGTAGTTGACCTCGTCGCAGCTTTCAGCCAGGAAACAGACTATTGCTTTACGTTGCTCAATGGCTTTGGCGCATTCATGAAGACCGCGAACGAGCCCATTGGAGGCGATGGCATTTT